ATTTTGGATCATGAAAATCAATAATCGGCAATCACTTCACAGACTGGAAAGTTCCCCAAGTCTCGTTTTATCTGCACTTCAATTTTAGGGTGACTTGGCAATCCTATTCCAAGGCATTTACTCAATAGATATAAAACCATATTTCCAAACAGAGAGTTGTCCAGTACAGCAGTTTATTCCTAATTGCCAAAGAAGCCTCATTAATGCCCTCCAGCAGGTGATTGGACAGTGTTGTACATTCAATAGAGTGCATCTTAGCAATAAAAATGAACACCCTCCTAATAATCATCATGACATGGATGAATCCCAAGAATATTATTCTGAGCAGAAGAAGCTGGAAATAGAAGAATACATATGGTAATATTCCATGTATCTAAAATTCTAGAGGAGATAAATCTGAATACCATGTTTCCCCGAAAATAAGACCTACCCCAAAAATAAGCCCTAGCAGGATTTCTATGCATTTGTTAAATATAAGCCCTACCCAGATAAAATCTAGTGATGGGCGTGGCTTTGCAGCATATCTGCATAGCCACGCCCTGCATTTCAGCACAGAGCCATAAGGAAGACTGGAAAACCTTTTATCTGCCACAGCTCCTTTCTCCAAGCCTTTCACACTTGAGTGTGTGGTAACCACGGTTGTAGGCATCCTATTGCACATGTGTGAACGGCTAGGGGAAAGGAGTTCACGCATCACTAGTGTCAGCTCCACCAACAAGTTCGACTCCCCCTGTCAAGTTCCAGAAGAAGATGACTTAACTATATTTGATTGTTGTATTATACTTAATAAAAATAAGACATCCCCTGAAAATAAGCCCTAGTGTGTCTTCTTGAGAAAAAACAAATATAAGACAATGTCTTATTTTCAGGGAAACAGGGTAGGAACAGAAAGCAGACCAGTGCTTGCCTGACTAGGGGTCAAATGACTGAATAGGAGGAGAGGCACAGAGATGCTTTGGGGGTGATGAAAGGATCCTCTAACTTGATAATCACAGATGGCATGGAGGAATATACATTTGTCAATAATGTAAGACCTAGAAATTCCACTGCTAGGTAGATTTTATATTAATACATACAAAAGACATAAGAACGCTCATAGTAGCTTTATGCATAACAGCTTTTTGGCTGGCATAAAAGCCAAAGCCAGCCCAAAGCCTGTCACCAGCATGATGGAGAAACACGTGAGGGTCGACCCTACTTCTAACAGATCCTGAGGAGCTTTCTGCCCATTTCCCTGGAATCCCTCTGCTGCTTCTTCATTGTTGTACTTTTCATTTTCAACAGCCAACACCTGCATCCCTCTCAAAAGACTGTCTTTAAATTTTGGCAACCTAATTTCCCTCGGACCCAGAGAGCCAGAAAGGCCTGGAAATTTATGTACCTTAGGGACAACCTTTAATCAAAGAGTCACAGTGCAAGAGTACAGTCGTCCTAGAGTCTCTACCCAATCCAGACTCCTCTGAGGTGCAGGTGGGCCCTGTCTGGAGCTCCTGTGAGGCTGGGCAAGGGCCTGTGGGGAACTTTGCTTTACACGGTATTCTTGTTGACCTAGAACCTCCATGAACCAACCTACTCCCATGTTCTACGACCATTTAGTTTTCTCCTAGAGTTTTATTAGAAATGATACAATCACTTTAATTCAAATCCTTATCTTAGGTTTGGCTTCTAGGAGACACAACCTGAGACATATTTGAATGTGAAAAAGAACAAACCGTTGGCTACAAACAACTATAGGAATGAATCCACAATAAAAATATTGAACAAAATAAGGCAAGCACAAACAAATATATACCGCGTGGTTTGTCTGTGTAATGGTAAGTGCCAGGAAAAACCAGCCTACTGCTATAAAGTGTGAAGTCAGGGTGTGGGTTGCTCTGGGGAAGAGGAATAATGCGTCGAGGTGAAAGGAGGGCTGGTGGGAGGCTGGGGCGTGCTGTTCCTGGACCTCAGTGACGGGCATGTGTTCACAGCGTGGTGAGACCTTGACCTATCAATGAGCCTCATGTATTCTTCTCTATGTAACAGAGTATTTAGGTAAAGATCTCTTAAATTAACAGCCACATATATTACTACGACAACAAAAGCTATGGCATAGTTGAAGCAATCCATGGGCATCTATTCTAATCTGGATTACAGATACAGGGTTTCAAATTAAATAGATATATATAATATATCCTAAAATGATATAGACAGAATCATTTTTATAGGTGACCAAGTATTTGGATCACACTTTAATTAAACTGAGATTTAAATCAAAATTGTCAGCTGGATGTACATATAAACTGTGCCTCTGTCTGACTATTAGAAAGCCAGTTTTAGGCAATGGTACAATTTAGGCATATTTACCTTGTTAGCCCTCCAATGTGTCCAATTAAAGTCGGCATCACTTTTAGAAATTTTTTCTTAGTAAAATGTCAATTTCAATTACACTAAGAATTATTACTGTGTCAGTGTAACAGAAATGAGAAATAGATAGTAGATTTAGATTAAAAAATACCAATAGTAGAGAGCTGGGTACTAGAAATATTGGATATTTTCAGGAATTTTTAAAGCTGTCTGGTTCCTCTGGGGCAAAAACAATAAAGCACCACCAAATATAATTTCCAATTATTGATTATTTTGGTTAATAAACTTATACTTCATCACCATTATCAAGATCATTCTTACCTCAATCATCAACGTGTCATCATCAGTATACAGCAACGTGTACCTCATGTTAACGGTTCGGCTTTATGTCAACAGTTCTATGCTAAATAATACTCTTGTTTATTTAAAAAGCATAGTAGATTTTGTCTATCAAGTTTTTTTTTTTTTTAATTTAAAATGTTTGGAATTCTTTTCCCTTCTGGTAGATCTGGTTCTTGAAATTGTTCTTGATGTGCAGCTTTACAGAGACATGTTAAATAATATGTAGAAGATAAATCGGTAATTATGTTGCAAATGCAGAGGTTCATTTGTCCGTGTAGAAATGTAAGCTGAATGCAAACCAGTCTGTTTTACAAGAATATAACATGTTTCTTCTTAAAAGTTTTAACAGTTAATAAAAACAAGACAATTAAATCAGCATGCTGGCTTATCTTTATAGTTTTTCACTTTCCAGTTTATAATTTGTCAGTAAACTAAATCTACATAATTCATTTGTATTTCAAGTTCTTATTTCAAACTAATAGCAAAGAAATAAAACTACAGACAAATACAAGAGGGTATATACATTTGGAAACAATTTGAGGAAACAGTTTGTATATAAAGAAAAATCTTTTTTTTTTTTTTGAGGCACAGTCATGGTAGAGTGCTGTGGCATCACAGCTCACAGCAACCTCCAGCTCCTGGGCTTAGGTGATTCTCTTGCCTCAGCCTCCCAAGTAGCTGGAACTATAAGCACCCGTCACAATGCCTGGCTATTTTTTGGTTGCATTTGTAGTTGTTTACCTGGCCCAGTCCAGGTTCGAACCCACCAGCCTAGGTATATGTGGCTGGCACCATAACCACTATGCTACGTACAGGGGCTGAGCCTAAAGAAAAATCTTTTATTATTGTTTATATTTTAAATATAATCTAAAATATGATACACTCCTATAGCTTATTTTTTCTAATATATAATTTGTAATATTATGTCATTTTACAAATGCATGATACATTATTCAAACCATGTAAAATGGTACACAATGAAAAGTCTGCCACACCTATAGAATTATCTTTGAAAATAACGTTCAAAATAAAGCATAGCGTTTTGAAGCATTTATAATACACCTGATACATCTGCATGTGAAATTGCTAAGTATTTTGCATAGCTGAATAACAGGACTCTACTTATGTCATTGTTAGCCCTTGTAACATTTGGAAAAACTTTGATTATGGGATTTACATGTGGAATAATGCCTTTATCAAGCTCATTACATTCATGGTAACAAGAGATGTATGAATAAGAATCATAAATCTTGTATAATAGGAATCCACCTGTGGTTTTACGGTCTTGGAGCTCAGCCATAATTTTTCAACACCAGTGAAAGTGCACCTGTCTATCAGATAAGAAAACACAATGGTCGTTAATTATATTCTTTCTTTCTTTTATATTATCTTATGGACTTGGAACCATTAGTGTTCTTCACAGGACAGGCTTTGTATTTGATGTTAGTCCTGTTGAAAGCTGCAGCCCATGTGTGAGTTGCTTGCACAATATCATGGTTTGTGTAGTAAAGACATCAGAAACAAAATGTGCTTTGGATTAGATGAGGCTCTGCTTGAACTATTCTGTGAAAAAGACAAAATCATAGAGTGCAAAAGAAAAGTAAGAAAACCAGAACCAAGATACACCAGACAAATGCAAATCAAAACTATCCCGAGATATTCTAACCCCAGTGACAACTGCCCACATCACAAAGTCTCAGAGCTGCAGATGCTGGCGCGGATGTGGAGAGAAGGAAACACTTTAATACTGCTGGTGGGACTGCAAACTAATACAACGTTTTTGGAAGGAAGGATAGAGAATCCTCAAAGACCTCAAATTAGACCTCTCATTTAATCCTGCAAAACCATTTTAGGGCATCTACTCAGAAGGAAAAAAAAATTCTTTTATTATAAGGACATGTGTGCACTAGACTGCTTATCGCACTCAGTTTACAATCACCAAAGTGTGGAAACAGCCTAAATGCCCACCAACCCAGGAATGGATTAACAAGCTGTCGTATATGAACACCATGGAATACTACTCAGCCACTAAAAAAGATGGAGACTTTACATTTTTTGTATTAATCTGGATGGAGGTGAAACACATTCTTCTTAGTAAAGCATCACAAGAATGGAGAAGCAAGAATCCAATGTACTCAATTCTAATATGAAGTCAGTAGATGAGCTAATACATCATGGTGTATAGGTATAATAATGGTGGGGGGTAGGTGAACAAGGGAGTAGGGGGAGGGGAGAAGGGACAGGGATGGGGTCACAGTGTATGGCACACCTCTTGGGGGCAGGACACAATTATAAAAGGGACTTTAACTAACAAATGCAATCAGTGTAACCGAATTCTTTGTACCCTCAATGAATCTTAAACAATAAAATAAAATAAAATACACTTTAAAAAGAAAAGGTTATTCTCTTCACTATCCATGGCTTCCCACTAGATCCTTAGGGAAGAGAAAGTCAAAATTGTTTTCAAAACTCTCCCACATAACTCCATTACGCTGTCACACACCACATAACAACACTGCAGTCAGTGACCAACTGCATATATTACAGTGGCCTCGGAAGATTCTGATGGTCTTAAAAAATTGCTCTCACCCAGTGACGCTGTAGCTGTATTAATGTCGTAGCCCAACACATTGGTCATAAAAATATAACACATACAACTATGAACAGTATATAATCCTTGATAATGATAAGAAACAATTATGTTACTGGTTTATGTATTTATTATCATGTGCCACATAAAGATGTTTTGGTCATTAATGAACTGCATTATGAAGGTGTCCCCATTATGAAGGTGTCCCCTTATAATACTGGATTCTTACTGTACCTTTTCTATGTTTAAATAGGATTAGATACACAAATACTTTTCCACGTGTTACAACAGGTAGCACTATTCAGCAGAGGAACATGCTGCAGTTTTGCTGCCTACGAGGAACAGGTTGACATCCAGCCTCGGTGTATAGTAGGCGGTGCCATCTAAGTTTCTGTACGTACACTCTGGCATTCACACTACAGTAAAACGCAAATGATACATTTCTCTGAACCCAGCCCCATCGTTAAGAGACACATGATGGAGTATAACTAAACTCTCACAAGAGAAAACATGGGCTAACTGAACTACAATGATTGAGAGTATCTGTTCACTAAGACACCATTAAGAAAACGTAAATGCAAGCTATAGAGAAATAACAGTTGCAGTGCATGTACCTACCAGAGGGCTTCAAGACACACTACGTAAAGAACTTTGCAAATCACGGAGCAAAAGACAATACAATAGAAGTCTGGGCCATCACTTAAACACCCTTCACAGAAGAGATATCCAAATGGCTTACAAACACATAAAAAACTCCCATCCTTTTAGAAATCAGGGAGATGCGTGTTAATGCCACGACATGAAACTATACAAACTCGCCAGAGTGACTCAGAAACAGACCAACAATCCCAGTCTCTCACATTCCTAATAGGCATACGAACTGTTAAAATTGTGGAGAACTGTTAGTATTTTTTACTAAATAAGAAGCTAATAACAATTTACATCCCAGCAGTTCTACTGCCGGTTATATGTCCAATATTAATGTCTGAACAAGTCTACCCTAATATTCATAGTAGCATCGCTCCTGACAGCCAAAAATGGAAACAACTCACATGCCTGGTATTTGTATTTGTCTATCTCTTCTTCACTTTAAACATTCTCTTTCAAAGCACTTCCTATTTTAAAATCATATTTTATAAGAAAGATACTATCTTTTGTAGGCATCACACCCAACTCCCTCAAATTAAGGGTCTCCCCTCTCCGTGTAAATCAGCAATAATTTTAAGGAGGTAAAAGTTGTGCCAGAGTGGAGTATGAATCTGCCACGTAACGCACAGAAGCAAAATCAGCACTGATTGGCAAACAGCTGCCTGTCGCTTTGAAGACAAAGTCCAGGGCTGGAGACTGGAAAGCTGGAGAGTGTTACAACAAAGAGTTCATCGAGGGATGCGAAGAAAAACAAGAGAAAGAACAGGAGGGTTGGGGTCTTTTTTTTAGGAATCCAAATGAGCATCCAGTTAAATGCCAGCAGTCTCGTTCAATGTGATGAATCTTTATTATTCCATCGGTATGATAAATGCAGACTGCTAGCTGCTGAGCACTGGAGGACAGCTCGCTGAGTCCCTGACAATCCCACCGTGCACACCACAGAGAGGGGAGGGCAGACCATGGTGTCTGCTTAAATGCGAACAGTCTCAGCACCTTCTTTTCATTATTTTAAGTGACTGCTCCTCGTCAGAGTAATTTGATTAGTAGTGAAGTCACAGACTGTTTAGAGCTGTTGCCTTGGTAATGTACGTATGAAAACTGCTTCAGGGAAATATAGCTGCAAGTCTGGGATATTGTCCATAGATACGGTGACGTCATAACCCCTGACGCGGAAACACACAGTGAACTCATCTATAAGCTGGCTGGCTTCTAAATGCAGGGGTGCCGTCGATTTACTCATTGATCAAACTGGTTGAGGCTTTCTAGTGCCATATGCGCCATCCCCTGTGCCCCCAATAAAGCTTGCATCCAGGAATATTTCCCTTTTTTGTGCAAGTATTTAGGCCTTTCCCCTTCATTCTGCAAAATTTGTTTAGGATTCTTAACTATAATGACAGCCTCACAATTTATTAGTCTTAATGATGCTTTGTTATTACGAAGCAGTAACAGTGAGAATACCAAATACATCTGAATTTCCTACAATTATATAATCTAGAAATATACTCTCAGGGTCAGTTTAATTTGCTAATTTAAGAAGAGTCTACTGCTTTAGCAGAGACATTAGAAATATTTGATTTTTATTTCATTTTATAATTTCTAAATGTTTTTGTTTGAAGCTTGTACCTGATTAATCTGCACAATAACGTTACTCACAGATAAAACAATTCCTGTCCATAAATGGTCTAGCCATAAAAATGGTCCATCCTAAATAACCCAGCTGGATGGCCACAAACCCAGCCAGATCCCAATATTCTAATCAAAATTCTTTTTTATACACTCAAAATTTTTATTTTACACTTAATAGTAACATTCTTAATGTTCCGGGTTAATCAATCTACCTCCTATGCCCATCGCAGACTTTAGTTATTGGCTTTGCTATATCGATATTGTTGTGCCTTTTTCCTTATGACAAAATTTTAACAAATTTTATAAAAATAAAATAATTACCAAAGTAGTATTTGCATTTACTAAAAGCCTAAAGAGACTTAGAAGTTTATTTGTAAACTTCTTAGCAATATTCTTTGTGTATGTTGCATTTTAAAGCTCCTTCCATACCTAAGATTTTCTGATACTTTGCGTTGTAAAAGCTTAAACAGCATTTTGGCCATAATTTGTATGTGTAAACAATTTCTAAATATTGTTGAATAAAATGAATTTTTATTCTTATTGTATGCAGTAATTAGTTATCCACCCCCCAGGATAAATATTTATTCCCATTTGAATTTACAAATAATCATCCTTATCTTTATATTCATCTCATTAAAAAATAACATTAGGTTGGGGCGGTGCCTTTGGCTCAAGGAGTAGGGCGCCGGCCCCATATACCGGGGTGGCATGTTCAAGCTGGCCCCAGCCAAAACTGCAAAAAAAAAAAA